CGCATTCCCCTCTGCAGCAGCGCCAGCAGGGGCAGGGCCGGGCTCTCCCTCCATCCCCAGCTCTCCTCAGCTCCAGGGACACCTCTGGGTCCCCCAGGGCTGCTCCGGCCTTGCCTGGGCTCTGCACCCCGTGATTCACCCACCCAGGGCTGAGTTCCCAAGGGAAGGGACCAGCCTGAGTCAGGCTGAGGAGCGCCGGGGCGGGGATTCCTTTCCTCCTTCCCAGAAGGAAAACTCTGCATTTTGGAGCCCTGTGAGCTCCTGGTGCTCCCAGGGGGAAGGGAAGGGGCCGGAAGGCTCTGCAGCATCCAGGAGTGAGGATCAGGAACGTGTCTGATCCCCCCTGGGCTCTGTGGGTGAGGGAGAAAATCCCCGTGGGACAGGAGGGAGGTTGTGATTCCCACTCCACACCTGGGACCTGCAGGAACAGCACCGAGCACGGGAGGATCCTGCTCAGGAAAGTTTAACAAGCACCAGGAAAATAAAACCCTCCCAGAGGCACATCCAGAGCTCCTCACACACCCCAGAACCTCTGTGGGGACAATGCCTGAAGGTCCCCAACCTGCCTGGGGTGCAAGCACAGCACAGGGGCCTCCCCTCCACGTGTGCTTTGCACCATTTGATGGGGAATTTTCCCCAAAAGCTTCTCCTGCTGACAGATTCCCTTTGGGAGAGGGGGGGATCCCTGCTGATCCCAGGGTTTGGATAAAGGGCTGGAGCTGGTTCCTCCCCAGCTGCTGATGTGAAGGGCTGGGATCAATCCTGAACAGAAATCTGCAAACAGGGATTTAATCATTATTTTTCCCTATTGGAAAGAAGGGAGTGACCATTCCTGGAGTTCAGGTGGCTGCCCCTGGATTTCCCCACCAACCTGGAGAGCCAGGGGTGACGTCCCTGAGGTGATTTTGTCCTCAATGCACCGAGGACTCTTTTCCAGCCCTCCTGTGAGCTCAGAGCTGTTTATCCCCAATCCTTGATCGCTCACACCTGAGCTGTGACTCAGCCCCACCTGGATGGGAACGGGGCCGTGCAGCAAACGAGTCGAGGCCAATCTGATTTTCCTACCATGGAACAGAAACGTGACCAGGGCTGGCTCCTTCCACCCTCAGCAGCTCTCTGGGTGCCTGGGGAGCCTCCTGGGGCTCTCATGGGGGCTCCCCAGAGCAGCTCCAGACCTGCCTGGGCACCGCAGGAGTGAATTCGGGAGCCTGGAGTTGGGGCCTTTGAGCTCCTTTGTGTCCCTGGAGGGTCCCTGGGCTGGGAGCTGAGCAGGAACAGCCCTGGGCTGCCCCAAAGGGAGGGGTCAGAGCTCAGCTCATCCCTCCGGGTGTCCAGGACCCCGCTGGGGGGCTCAGAGACCCTGGCACACAGCCCAGAGCACCTGGGGATGGGATTGTGACCCCTGGAGCAAGTTACCAGCTTTGTATGAGGACCTGGAAGTCACACAGGTTTGAATAGAATAATAACAAAACGATCACAGGGTGAAAAGGTAGATTTTAGGATTTTTGGTATGGGGGTTATGGGAATAAGATGGAGGAACTTGGGCATGTCCAGCCTTTCTCTTTCTTCTTCTTCTTGTTCTCCATTTTCTGCAGTGATGTTGGCACTTTGGGATTGGTTTAGAGTAGAAGTGCACTGTCTAACACAGGTGATAGGTATTGGGAATTAAGTGTAAATATGTTATAGGTAGTTTGTAGTATAAAAGGACAACACAGAGTGCCTGTGGCTGCCCTGCTGAGCAGATCTTGGCTGGGCAGAAAGAAAATTTTATAGATAAGAATTAATAAACAACTTCAAGACAGAAAAGTGAAGAGTCCAGACTCGTTCTTCAGTTGTGCAGGCTGAAACAGAGACAGAAACAGAGACACCCTGCACATCTGGGGGCAGCAATGAACAACCAAAAATCTGAAAGGAGGGAGCCCTGCAGG